AAAAGTTTAATTGGCTTAAACATTAATCTATTTTTAAGATCATATGAAAAGTTCACAAGATTCATATGTAAAATATACCAATAATATAATATACTATTACATTGCATTATTTTAAGCTATTGACGATGAAAACAATGGTAATAAACACTATTATAATATATTATATGTATTATATAGTAATGCTTTTGTTTTTTGTTTGTTTTTTGTTGTTGTTGTTGTTTTTTAGTTGTTTTGGGTTTTTTTTTTTTTGCATTGGACTTATAATAACCTGATCATTATCCAACCCTGGTAAAGCCCTTAATCCCAACTTGATTGTTATACTAACTCACGGGAAGCCACACTCTATGTCCCCTTGTTGTTGGTCACGTGCCCAGAGCCTTGACCTCTGAAATCAGCAGCTGAGGGAAAATAGCCTATGTTCTACGTAATGAAATGTTATCTTAAATACATTTTCGACACACAAACTAGAAAGGACATTTAAAAAGCAAAATTAGGAAAATACATTTAATCCTAATTAAACTAGATATGTATCTGTGTTTTTTGTTGTTGTTTTTACTTTTTTGTTTTTATAAATGTTAAGGTACATTTCTTCGGCGGATTTCTCTTACTTGTCCTTACATTATCCATATAAAATATATGTAAAATCATCAGTATCTAAAACACATTAAACAAATAATCTTTGTCTGTTTCCGAAGGAATGTACCAACCTCTCTGAATATTTTTTTTATTATTTAAAATTTTATATCGGATAGGTTAAAAACAATATTATAATTATAACAATGTTATAATCGAGCTGGACATGAAGCTGTTATCGCGATGTTTGATAACACCGTCATGTCTCCTTCTTGCTCGTGTGTCAGGCCTCCTGTCAGTTTCTGTTTGTTTAACATCCGGTCTTTTCCAGTCGCACTTCTCCTTTAAGCAGAGAAAAAGCCCCGTCCATGACGTCAGCAGTAAAACCTGCTCTATCCGTTGGCCGCTGAACGTAGTTTGGCGTGTTACCGCTGCTGCTGTTCGACTTTTCCCTCTCTTCCTTTACTGTCGACGCATGATTTCGCCGTGTTATATCTTCAGTCGTCAGGGTTGGTGGCCTCGATTTCAAAAGCCAACCCTGTTGCCAATGTATGGGGTGTTTCAGAGAAGTTTCTAAACTGCTGTTTGAGGAACCGGTGAACGGCAGAGATGGATAAGCTAACCGTGAGCTGACTTGTTAGCCGTGAATCCGAGGTCAAGAATAGGCTCGAGCTAGAATGCTAACAGCAAGCTAAGTTAGCAGTTTGTCGGAGAAGGCACTGTTTTTACCCGAAGGTTGAAAGTACTTTGGTTTTTTATTTTTTCATCGGACCTGGCAGCTTCTCCTTGAGTACTTTAGCTAACCCCCAGAGGAGTAGACGCTGCTTGTGGTACAAGAAAGAACCCTAGGATTGTTTTTAAGAGGTGGCTGTTGTACATCTCAGCGCAGACCAGCAAGAGCATGTTCTCTAACGCACAGAACCAACCACTGTTTCCAAACCCGGCAGGGCAGCAGAACTCTGCCGGGCAACAAAATCCAACAGGCCAGTTCCTCCCTTTTAATGCCAGACCCGCTTTACAGATCAAGAAGAACGCAATAACAGACGAATATAAGGTGACCAACCAAGTTCTAGGACTGGGAATCAATGGCAAGGTGCTCGAAATCTTTCAAAAGAAAACTGGAGACAAATACGCACTGAAGGTAGGTTCCATCTGATAAACACTGGGTGAAAGTAGATGTGGTCACAAGTCATATGCAGAAACAGGAAATCCGGGAGTCCTGTTAGAAAATGGGATCCATAATTTCGAAAGAGTCATTTCACTAGTTCTGATGTGAGTGAGAGAGAATGTCTAAAGGACTGCATTCATCAGATGATCCATTTTTTTACAAAACAAACTGCATTGATAGACAAGCCATTACATAATTGGTTTAATATAATAAGTGTTGTTTTTCAACAACATGAATTTTGCACTTCCTGGTGCATTTGTTCATTGATAAAAAGGAAGCAGGTCAACCTTAAATGAAGAAGAGAAGTGGTTGATTTCAACACACAACCCTGTTGCTAGAGAGCTAGAAGCACTGTTATTCATGTGATTTCACATGGCATAAGTTTTACTGCTGAATGCCGCCCAGCTTTCAAAAATGCCTTTTTCTTTTGAAGATGATTAAATTATTGATGCAATTTAACCTGAGTAACTTAAGTAGCGTTCAACTTAATAGAAATTAATGAATATAAAATTGATTTTTAATTTAGGCCTTATTTGGAAACATAGATAGATGATGTAAAATTCGGGCATTCTGTATTGTTGTTTTCCCATTCTATAATCTGAAGAGGATTGATAAGACTTGTTCTTCTGTTTAGTGACATTGGCCTCATATGTTTTGACATTGGCCATATAAAAGCTTAAGTTTCTTTCTTCTCCTTTAGAGAAGTTAAGCAAAATTTACAGTGAAAAAGGAAATGTGAGATGTTTTATCAGTTAAAACATTCTGAGCAATTGTATCAAACACACTGTGTATGTGTCTTGGAAAGAGCAGTTCCCCTGTCATGGCAGGTTTGAACTTTTAATTCCTTTTTTAAAGTAAAGTGGTTAATACTTGTGTTTCCTGTTAAGTCTATTTAGTTTGAATTAAGAAGATTTACCCATGGGAAAAATAAGCAGATGCCCTGTGGCTCATTATTCACAAGGTGACACAGAGTGACGACACTAACCTGTCAGATGTGGTCATATATGAGTAATCTCTTTTCCTGTGGCTTCCTTGGACAACATATTATTTTTAATATTATTTAATTATAATATATTAAATAATATAACTTGATCTTCTTCAAGCTGTGGTGGATTAAATTCAACTGTAAAGCATTGCATGTTCATTAACGAAAGAGTTAGAATGAAAGCTAATGTGAAAGTGTTCAACTTTTCTTTTTGGTTCAACATTATCTCTTAAATCAAATGTTGAGTGTATTTTAGACTAATGCTAAATGCATAAATCATAGAATTGTTTTATATCGCTAAAGTTTTATATTGCTGTGACCACCTTCAGTCTCCACATGTCTTAAATCTACTTGACTAGCCTATAGTTTGCTTTTCCTCGTAAAGTCAAACTCAACTACTTTTTACTTTTTCAGCCCCTTGAGTGATTGATTTTTTTTTTTTTACACCATGCTCTAGCTGTTCACCAAGCAGACAACTATCTCTCTCTTTAATTGTCTTATAAATTCCTGTTTTCACCTCAGTCTTCTTTAATGAAATGGTTCTGTATCCAGGCGAGGCTGTAAAATTGAGTCTGTATACAATTGCAGCTTGTGGAGACTTTTACTTAGATTGATATTGCCATGTATTTAATTTACTCCAAAGTGTGTTAATTATGCCCATGAGTCAACTATTAAGTGTTTAGCTCAAAACGCCTTAAACTGGGGCAAGAAACTGTTGTGGATATAAACAAAGTAGAGAAGACATCTGCACTGTGTAAGCCCCAGTTATAATTTCTGCATGTCGTCAGTGGTCTTTGTGACATAATTGTTGTCTTGACCTAATAAGCTTTTATCCAGGAAGTAAGCAAGCAATCCCAGAAGTTTGTTACAGTGACAGATTTCTTGTAATACTGGTGCACAAAATGAAAGCAATCAGGTACACCTGTGCGTGGTTTGGAGCCTGCAAACTCAGCTCTGTCCATAAATACCAATGTGGATAAACTGGCAGGTCTTGAAAATTGGGCTGTAATTAAGTCAAAGATACCAAACATGAGGCAACCAGTGCCAATCTGTGAGAAACACTAAACTTTCCCCATTACCTTTCAGTCTGCTTGGTTATATGTCAGCATTACAACCCAGTAAGTACCTACAGTGAACTCAGGCCATTTAGTACATTATTACATTACAAAATGACATGGACTGTCATTATATTATATATATATATATATTTTTGATATACTTCTTTTGTGTTCAAAATTATCTTTGAACAGGAAACACATTAAGTGCCGGAGCACAAAGCTCATTGTTATTTAACTGCCGGTTGAAGTTATTATAACTACTTGAATGGCATATTTTCTTAATAGTCATCTGCTGTGTGACATATATAGCTCTGAAAGCAGTAACACTCTTCGTCAAAGTACTTTTTATACACACTGCTTTGAAAAGTCAAACAACACAATTCTTTTTAGGAGTTGCACACAACAAAGAAATATAATTGCTAAAAAAGATAAATCTAGTCAGTAATAACTTACATTTCATGAATCTGTTTCAACTTATTATTTGCAAGACCCTTGGTAAATGCATAGCAAATTATTTTAACAGTAGATTAAATCTGTAGATTGACTTGCCTTAGTAGACACAATTATTCACAATTTGAATAAGCGTGAAAAAAACCCACAGAATGTAGAGAAAAATATGAATAAGAAAAAAAAATTAATTTACTATTTATTTTTTACTACAAATGTGATTCATAACCTGTAGTTTCATGTATTCATACTAACATAATAAATTCTTTACAACAAACTAAGCAGAAACTGCCATTTCCCTATTAACAACTTTAGTTTAAACTCCATCTGTACACTGTTTGTCTGTCAACACAATCTCTAATTGTTTCTTCAGATTTTATTATATGGAACCTTGTATGACTTGTCTGTTGATCCAAGTATGCTAATTATCTTTTTTAATTGGCTGTGCTTGTGAATCCAGGAGATTGTGGGAAAGAAATGAAAATGGTATTGCAAAATAATGTAATTTACTTCAATTAAAAAAAAAAAAAATTCAAATTCAAAAAGTAAATTCTTTAATTTACTGTGTTTACAATGATCAACAGGTTTGTCATGAAAAGAATAATTTCAAAATTCAAATTCAAAATACAAAAACTAACATTGTCGGCCTTCCTACATGAGGCACTATAACAATTGCAAATTACCACTACAAGTATTACAATTTGAGTTTTCTTATTGCAACAAATTGACCAAAATGACAAAAACTATGTGCAAGAACAGGCCATGAAAAACTTGGTCATACATCCTTTGTTGTCTTACAGTAATAGAGTTGTTCTCCATTCTAACAAAACCATCCAGTCTTTCTGATGTAAGTTAGCTACTTCATTTTTGTTAGGTTTGCCAGGTGCATGAACCTGCACTGCAAAAAAAGAAATATAAATGTCATCGCTGTCTTTGCACCTGCCACTGTGTTTTTCCTGTTTGTCACTTAAATAGTTTTAGCTTTTGGTTGCTGTTCATCCCTGACATGACACCTGCCTTGGTTTATTTTTATTTTGTTTGGTCTCACCTGTGACCAGTTGCCTACTTTTAAAACTGCTTTTGAGATTTCTTTTTACACCTTCCCTAAAATGTTCTTGGAAATTCAGAGAAAGGTTATAAAGTAGTAAATTCGTATTAGAATACTAAAACTCTCTACTGTGACTGTGCTGCCTTTTCTCAAAAATAAAAGGTCTTTGTTTAAAATGATCAACCATTTAATATATATCAGAGAATTTGGTGAGGCATTTCTTTGTCAACATCTCAGAGATGTTTAAATTAATTCAGAGATTCAGAGGAAGAGCTTGGTCCGTTCTTCAGTCATCGGTGGAAGGAGGGAAGGAAGGAAGGAAGGAAAAAAAGGGCGTTAGGGTGCGGAAGCTAATAGGTTCTCTTAGCAATGTTTGAGTTATTTCACAGCAGCATTTCTATGAAGTGTTTGTAGTCATAAGACATTCATTTATATCTGGATTCATCCAGATAGAAGTGAATCCCAGTGTGGCTGCTGACTCACTGTGAGGAACCTCTTCTTTGTTCGTAAGGAAAGAAATGATCAGATTTATTTGTAATCTTAAGTATTTTTTAATTTTTACCGACAAATCAGAAAACAGAACTTGATGACCGAACTACAGGACTGTTGTCTAACACTTTTGAATCAATAAATTACCAAAATATTTTGCTGACTGCTGTTGACATAGAATCAGAAATACCTCATCGATAGATAGAAAACTTTCATATAGTCAATGCAGTTAAACATAATGTTTTTTTTTCTTTTTTTACTCATTGCTTAACAAGCTGTGCCTTTAAAACAAATCACTAAGCCTTTCCTAAGATGGAATTTTACGACTAAGTCCAAAAATACTACTTAGACGTAGGTTCAGGTTGTAAACACTCAGACCTGACTGGGAGTTTGGCTTCCCTTTCAGGATGTAAAGCTGAGAACCAGCACCAGTGTTTCCATTATATTCCTTTATGCAAAAAAAAGTAATGCACCAGTCTTCATTTTTCAGCTAAAATTAAATGTGTAAATTATTAAATTAAATAAATCATAACTTTGACCAGTACAGAGATCCATATTAGTCTGGTTTAACAGACTAGTCAAGACTGAAGTAGTCTCTCGTCTTTGTCAGCACTAAAGTTACTTTTATATGACCAATCAATTAATAACAATTTAAAAAACAAAATCATATACTCAGCTTTGACTGTTACTGCATACACATCTACATATTTTTGTTGCCTTTTTACTGTTGCCAAGTATATGATATTGTGGTTGTTCACAGATAAACAAATTCTTACCTGCTGTTGAATAACTTCAGAACACATTTTCTATAGCACATACAGTACATCAATAAAGATCATCACTTCAATAAGGAAGCAGGGTGACTGAAAATTTCTTAATGAAAAATAAGGAAAGAAGTGGGTGTTTTTACCTTCCTGATTTATTTAAATGTTTGATAGTTTTATAGTAATAATACTCATTTATTGTTGAAAAGAGTGTTTTAAGAAGGGTTTTGTTAAACTTTCAGTTGTCAGAGCTCAGGTGAAAAACCTGGTACATTTTGTAATTCTGGCTATAGCAGTGTTAAAATGCTTTTGGAGAAATCACAGCCTATCATTGGCTTCCCTTATCATGTCTCTAGTTCTTTTTTAAACATAATCACAGCCTATCATTGGCTTCCCTTACCATGTCTCTAGTTCTTTTTTAAACATACTCTGCACAATCACGCATGTGAGCACTAACAAGGGTTGAAAGTCATTTTTTTTCACACAATCTTAACCCCTGTCATTTAAAAACAGATGATAAAACGCTGATCTGTAAGACTGTCAAAAGATTCCAAAGGCCTCGGATCCTGTGCGTTCTGTTCATTCTTCCCGTTTGACCTTGTCCCTTAAAATTCTGCACTCCTGGTCAAACAACTATTTTATGTACTTATATGTATATCTTTTACCCTGTATGCTGAAACAGTTCACTTGGATCGAGGTGTTTGTTGTTGAAATTGTTTTCATTTAATCCCTGTATCTCGCAAGGAATATTAATCTTGCATTGTGTTTTCTGTGCAAGTGTCAGTTCCATGTGCAGTACTGCCAGCTTGGAAATTAAATTCCAATTTTGTTTGACCCTTGTCTCTTGTGATGGTGTTGAAGAGCTGGACAAAGCGTTCTTGACAAGGCCTCTATTCTTAAAGTCCTGAGATCTGACTTGATTGTAGGATATGGTTTAATGTTGAATTCTGCCATGGTCATTTAAGAATTTTACAGCCCTATATCTCTCTGAATGTAAAATTGATTTTTTTTTTCTTTCTAATTTGAACATATTGATCCTACACTATGGCTTAGTCAATGAATGACAGGTGGAAAGTGTTTGCTCTTTAAGCCTCCCACCATCCTCCCATTGTCTAGCTCTGGATCTGGTTGCTTTTGTCTTGACTCCAGAGAAAGCATTGTTNCCCCTTAACTCTAACCCTAACCCCTACTGTTTGGCCTCAAAGGGCCAACAACAGATGGGGGTCTAAGTAGCCACACGAGTGCCAGCTGCAGGGGTTGATGTGGGTGTGTTCTAAGTGTTGGTCCTAATCTGCACACGTGACAAAAATATGGCGTGACGTTTTTTTTCAGTGGGGTAATGTTTCTATGTTTAAATTTACTGTCATTATTTTGGGCGTGTGACACAGGCCTGTGTGCATGTCAGCAATCCAACTGTGAGGCTGTTGATGTACCTGTAAATACTCTCGACCTCGAGACCTTATACTACACTTGATACTGCAAATACAGTATAAGTATTTGCATGAAAGCAGAATTCCAAACTGGGAAACTATGATAAATTGATTAATTTAAAACATCGGCGTTTTGTGACCTTTAGAAGAATTGTGTTTTGTTTGGGGAATCTCTGGTTACTCATGATTCACTTCATTTACAACTCTGAGGACAGTGGTTACTATTAACTATTTTTGATGTAAGCATCAGCTTCTAAGACAGGGGGCGCCAGTCGAATGTTATTGTTTTTGAGCTGTGTCTTCAGTTCAGCCATGCTTACTGAACCACTGGCAGCCAGGCTTTGGTTATACTGTCATATTCCATTAGTTGCACTGTTGATGTCACAGACAGCAAAGATTAATTTATTTATTAATTTATATATATATATATATACCTACCTTGTTAAAGATCTAGGCCCTGTTTGTGTGTTTTAAAACTCTAGATTTATTTATTTGTAAGGACACTTGACATTTGACCCAATTTGATTCCTGTAATCCTATTGCTCCAGACTCAACAGTTGGCCACATTTCATCTGTGTCCAGTCCAAGTAACCTACCTTAAAGTGTTGGTGTACATTCTGTCCGCCCTGTGGCATGAGATAGAATGGTGACTTTAGAGTTTCCCAGCCCTTCATTCCTACTGGAAGGGAGCCCACTGTTATGTTGTGACTGTGGGCAGGGATGGAATGTATTACACAATAGAGTGGACAGACGGTTGTTTACTGTCAAAACAACAAGGCTGAATTCTTTCTGTAAACTGACCAACATATTCCTAGAGGTTTGTTTGAGGGAAGTCATCATATTTAATATGAAATGATGAATATCATCACCAGAATCTGAACCATGAATTAGTCAACATAGGACATTGGGTTGTCTTTAACTGTGCCATTTATGTCCATTGCCTGAAAAAAAATTTGAAAAAACATTTCAGTGTTGAGCTCTATTGAGTTTTTTCTCCAGCACAAATTTCTGACTAAAACGTTCTTACTTTTGTGAATACTTTTGAGTCAAATTTTTCATTCCTGTTTGATGTTTGTGTAGGCAAATGATCAGCTCGCTACACTAAAATATATTCAGTACAAAAAAATACTTGTACAGCATTTCTGTTGATAAAATATGTGAATATTGTAAAGTACACAGCTAGTACCTGTAGCTCTACAAATAACTGTACTTAAACTCAATAAAACTTTTATTAAACTTCAATAGGCCTTACATAATGTCTGTGAATGATTATTTCTTCTCTGTTAATTCCACACAAGATCCTGCATATTTATACCTATTCAACAGAATAAAAAGTGTATTGATTACTGAAGTTGGGGTCATTTTTGTGCTATAAGTTCTACGGTTATTCTTTTGTCTGTAGATATTATCCAAACATTTTCTGTAGTTGTATCGAGCCTCAACAATTTTTTTAAATTTAACAACAGCATTTGCACTAATGTGATGTTGCACCCAGAGGGTGTCACTGCCTCATAACCCAATGACGGACGAGACAGTATTGTTCTAACATTCTGCCAGCTGGTGGCAGCACTGCACCTCTGTCTTACTTTACCTCCATCGTATATTACCCCTAATGTTCATTTTCAGGTATACTGTACAAATATAATTATTTCTTTACTAAAACGTTTTTTTGATCAGCCAATTAAATTCAAGCTTTTTCATTCATGAGAAAAAAAATAATATTAAAAGAATATTGGATCATGTAATCACATATATTAATCTTATAAGGGAAGTCAGGGAAAAACCACCGAAAAATGCCAGTCACCCTGAGTCCTTAGGTCTAACGTTAACAATAAAGTCACATGATCTCCTGTCGATTTAAGAAAATCACTGTGCCCTAACAGTGTCTCCATCTGTGTCTTAACACACTCCCTTAGATTCAAAGTCACATACAGTATTTTATTAATGAGATTCAAGATGTATTGGGGGAAAATTACATAATGTAAACAGCATGTTTGTTAATCTCTTTTTTTTGTAAATTTACATTACATTGTCATGTAGTTTACGTTGTCATTTTATCAGACTTGCCCTAAATGCCTTTTTTTTTCTTTCTCACAGATGCTGCAGGATTGTTCCAAGGCTCGTAGAGAAGTAGAGCTCCACTGGAGGGCTTCACCGTGTGCCAACATTGTACGCATCATTGATGTCTACGAGAACCTTTATCAGACTCGGAAATGTTTGCTGATTGTCATGGAGTGGTGAGTGGATAGAATAAACAACATACATACTGTCACTAACTCTCATGTAATAATAACACAACATTGCAAAACTAGAATATGATTATTATATTATTATGATTATAATATTATTTCTTCTTAACTATTAAATTTAGGTACTTTTGCAAATACATAAACTTAGTAGCAGGTATTTATAATAAAAGACTTAAAAGACATTAGGTCTTAGAAAACTATTTCAGAATGTTTGACAGATTTTCTTGTATTTATAAATTCATATTGTTCTCTGACCTTAGGAGAAATTGACCCATTTCTTTTAAACAAGCTCAATATCTTTTCACACCTTTCATTTCCACCCACGACAAATTAATCACTCATACCTTTTGTTTCTGCACATGCATTCATTTGCCATGTGGTTACAGTGACGAGTCAGAGGTAGTGGACCCACTTCCTTTTAACCCGCTTGCAAAATGCTATGTGATAAAAAAAATGCACTGAAACTTCAGGGTGTCCTGGAAGCGTAGGGTTTGTTTGATGACCCATAGCCAGTGGTGCTATGGTAAGCACTCAGTGAGCGTAGCTAATTAACATTTTAAAACCTGAGTTCACAGAAATGCATATCTGTTACAAACCTATTTGCAAACATTATGAGAAATGTGTCTAACTGTTATTATTACAGAACATCCACAGCAGTAACACACATACAATAGTACTACTAATAAAGTACTTTATCTTCAGGAATTTTAATGTCAAATATTACTTTTTGAAAATGAATTATGATTTTGCTGAATATTTAAGTTTTTAGTTGTTTAAATGGATAATGTATACATTTATTTTATAATAAATGTAGTATTTGCTTTAATATTGGTAGATAAAAAACAGACTCAACCACTGCAATTAGTGACTTCAATCAACTAGTCACATTATTGACTAAACAGCACAAAAATGGCTTTTTGCACTAATTAAATTAGTTGCATCATCCTAAACAGTTTAGGAGAATTTGGTGCTCAACAATTTAAATGCTTGAAAATATAATAATTTAATATTCATATATTGCTAGTATGTAAGGAAAAAAAGATGTACAATTTCGTCATATTAAAGTTGAATCATCAGATGACTAATGAAGAAGAGGAAGACCTATAGATTTCACAGTTATTCCACTGAATGCAGCACCAAGCACTTTGCATACATCATGAAGAAATGCTGAAAAAATAATGCAGGTTTAATAATGCATGTATGGACATAGTTTTTAACTTAAACAAATACATGTATGTAAAATTATCTTCAGTTTAAAAAAAAATGACAAAATTGTATTAACAAAGGCAAAGTTTTGCCACATTCAGTAAATGCTTGACTTTATATGGGACTTATATTCACATGTACACAGTATAAATGCGGGTCATCTAATTGTACGTGCAGTAGAGGAGTTTTCACACTGTACAAAAAATGTGTAGGAAAGTGTGCGGCGGCTTGTGAGGGTGGTGGTATCTCCGCTGTGAGGGTGTGAAATGTGTGCAGTTTTTTCATCATTGTCATTAGGCATCTGCTGAGAATTCACATGTCACACCAGGCACTTTCAGAAGCATGGGAGAATTTAGAAGATGGTGTTCAGACCAGTGTGGCTAAAGAGGCTAAACGTTTTGGTCCAACATGTGCTGCCTAAGATTGGAAAAAAAAAAAAAACCCAAAGGGCTGTGTGCAATTACTCAAATTCTTGCACATGCTGCAGATGTTCGTAATGCATAGCATATCAGATTAGAATGAACTACTTTCTGTTTCTTTGTATGCAAAGGGTAAATGATTAATAATGAGAAATTGCAAAGACGAAACTCATATCTATTCCCTCTGTCCTGTGCGTAAAGAAATGGTTATGGTTGTATTGAACATTTAGTCATACCCATATTTGCACACTCATCCTGATCACGATGATTAAGTGAAAGATATCACCTAAAAGCTGAGTTGGATCTTTCTCATGCTATTTTATTAAACTTAAAATTAAAATAAAAAAAAAACATTGCCGTTGTCTTTCTATTTGCAGCAGACCATCAACATCACCATGTCGTCCTTAATGTAACTCACTACATAAATCTGAGTTTTCCTCTTTTGTCTTTAATCTTAACTACAACTTGATCTCCTAACTGCTCAACATTGACAAGACTTATGTCAGTTTTTTTTTTTGTGAGTGCAGAAACCTTTTTTGTTTCAAATGTGCTTCACAAATAAACTTAGATTAGATTGGAAGAAGTGTTTCTGTGACCATCATTTTGAACCCTGTCCATCCTTATCAGTGAAAGTCTCAGCTTGCCCTTTATTACTGATAAAGGAAAGGGTTTTGTTTTGAGGTCAACACTCACACTGAGTAATCAGTTTTTCTAGAGAAATGGGCTGTTCAGCTTGAGGTACTACTTCCTTGTTCAAAGGAATCGGACCAGAGAGATTCGGAATAAAGTGACGTCCTTTATACCACGCTTATGTCTCTGTACACTTTGACTGCAAGTAGAGGTTTTCAGTTCATATTAAACACCGAATTCTTCAGATCTGTCAATTCAGAAAATTATAGTTTTACACACTAAATCAAAATATTTACAGCTCATCTTCATATTTTAGAACCTGAAAAAGAATATTTCTTTTTTTAACAAGATGATTGTTAAATTGGTCGTTGAAAAAAGTTTTTGCAAACTTTTAAATGCCGTATTAGATTTCTTATGTTAAAACCTGCAAACATTTCTTCTCCTATGAGATTTAAAAAAAAAGAAATCATTGACAACGTGGTGTTAGATGCGTTAGCCGTTTTTGGCTAATGTGCTAATGATTGTGCTGCAGTACAGGAGGAACAATCTAAATTGATTTAATAAACTAAAAATATAATCTCAATTAGGGATGATATAGATCATGCAGATTATGGAGAACTTGGGCACAAAGAGATGCTCAAACTCAGGTGTTTTCTGTTGAAATGAATCTTAAATGAGAGACGTGCGCTACTTGTTGTAGGCTCAGCTTTGTTCATTACCGTGACCTTGGGTGACTCAGAAACTTTGGATATGTTCACACATTAATCAGCCGTTGTTGTCCACAACAAGACCACAACAACTCATCAGTAAACCGCTCGGCATCCCTTTCCTCATAAAACCACAAGGTTACATTTCACACAGCAGAGGAAGAGGAAAAGGTCTACACCTCATTTGGTTTCCTGTACAAAAACACCATGCAGTCTTGGTTCAACCAGGGATTTCACATCATCTGCAGCATCAGATTTAAGACAGAGGTTCCTAAGCTTTTTTGGCCACACACTTGCTTCTATATCCCAACTGGGTTGATGCATCCCCAATTCATCTCACCTTTGAGGGGAAAAAAAGAAATGCACCAAGCTTTCTGGTAGTGGCAGCATGTTTAATCATGTTCAAATGGTACACATATAACATGCATATATATATAGCTTCAATTTATTCATCTATTAAAATGTTAGATTTCTGTACTACATTTTACAAAGGAAATGTTGATACAGATGTTTTTATTGTAGATTGTGCACCTCTACAGCAAGGGGGAGCTTTGGGAATCCCTGAAACAAGACATATGCAAAATGTTAGTGTAATGTGATAGAGTGGATGGATGAGAAGTGTCTTGCTTCAGACAGAAGTATCTTTTCACTAATCCTAAAACCAAAACTTTTTTTTTTTTCAGTATGGACGGTGGAGAGCTCTTTAGTCGTATCCAGGATAGAGGTGACCAGGCTTTTACAGAGAGAGGTAACATGCATGTTTTAATGAAAGTAAATACTGCATACATCTAATAGTGCCCTACTTTGACAACCTGATCTGATCCTACGTTTGTATATGGTATGATGTATGGCTCCGAGTCTCACAGGGGTTTTTTCTTCTTTATATCAGAGGCGTCTGATATTATGAAAAACATAGGCGAAGCCATACAATATCTCCATTCAGTCAACATTGCACACAGAGACGTCAAGGTTTGTGCCATATATAAAGTACAAACTTTTCCTTGTACCTTTTTGTTCATATCTTGATGAAAACAACATCTCCCTGCAGCCGGAGAATTTACTGTATTCCACACAGAGGTCCAGTGCTCTGCTCAAACTGACAGACTTTGGCTTTGCGAAGGAAACCACCTCACACAACTCACTAGCTACTCCCTGCTACACGCCCTACTACGTCGGTAAGAATTAAAAGTATACATTGTATTCCCTGTACTTCCTATTTAGTATTAAATACAACTCCTTACCATTTCTCCGTTCTTTTGATCATTACTTTTTCCGCTCTTTTTCCCCAGCTCCAGAGGTTCTGGGTCCTGAAAAATATGACAAGTCATGTGACATGTGGTCACTGGGCGTCATTATGTATATCTTGTAAGAAATGTTGAAATTTGAATGTTTATCCTCTGCCACAGGCTAGAGTTTGTTCTTGTAGTAATGAGTACTACCCTGTTCCACCTCCTTCAGGTTGTGTGGTTACCCTCCCTTTTATTCCAACCACGGTCTAGCCATCTCTCCTGGGATGAAGAAGAGGATAAAGATGGGCCAGTATGAGTTCCCTAACCCTGAATGGTCTGATGTGTCAGAAGAAGGTAATGTAGTCAACATAACGGTGTGAAAGAATTGCAGACATTGCGATAATAAATAGATTTATTGTGGTGTTTATCTTGATTTGTCTGTCTCATCTGTGAAGTGTCAGAAAAACAAGATTTTGTCAGGAAATGAATAAATGAGTGTCGTATATGAATCTTTGCTACATAAAAGAGGGGTTCGAGCCGGGAAATAACAAATAGGAACAGCACCACTGCAATAACGTTCCATAACGTCTGCACCTTGATGTGCAAAACAAGCAAATCATATCTTTCTGACCGGGAAACTGAAACTAACTGATTGTGTTGCTTCCGTCAGTCAAGTTCTTAACAACAGAAAGTGATTGGCTCTGTTGTAAATGTCAGTGAGTCGATGGGCTTATATTTACTTATCTCAGTGCTGGATTAGATAAAATGCTTCTTGTAATGCAATATAAATCTCGATCTTAAATATAATTGTGTAACGTCTGTCACTGTTCTTTTTTTTTTTTTTGCAGCTAAACAACTGATTAGAACGCTCCTCAAGACGGAGCCAACCCAAAGGATGACAATTACAGAGTTTATGAATCATCCATGGATTAATGTAAGAGCCAGTTCTCTACTACACTTTGACCTTGACCTTTTTTTTTTCCATCTCCAGCCTTTCAGGCCAGTAACACGGCAACACTGACATTTTTATGTGTGCGTTTGTTTCTTTGTAAAGCAATCAATGGAGGTTCCTCAGACCCCACTTCACACTAGCCGTGTCCTCAAGGAGGAAAAAGATACATGGGAAGACGTCAAGGTAAGACCTGTTAGAAACGTGTAGTGTAGCAACAAGGGAATGTTAATGTATGCAGTGATACTGCAGTTGTACAGCCATTTTAATGTGATGAGGCGACAGTGTGAGAGGAGAGTAAGGACCAAGCCAGTTTCTTGTTCAAACTGCCCTGAAGGGCTGTTCAGTTATGGAGAAATACTGACGAATATTTTGGTTGATATTGGAATCAGGATTACTTAACACGAGTACTCCCTACAGAGTATATAAATAAAATATAAAACATGTGAAATATACATTATAATATAAATGAAATACCAATAAAATATTTTTTTAAAATTAAAAAGGCATCACCATGAATGATACCATGACAAAAAATAGAATCCGGTTATTTAGGCTATAAGATCTGGTCTGTTGTTACACAGAGTAAACTGTGAACATACACAGTAGATGCTGGCAGTTCTGCTGGTAGTTTGTGATCAAACTGTACCACAAAAAACTAAAAAGACTAGTTTAGAGAAGAAAGTGTCTCAAAGGCCTCTCTCCACATTTCAGGAGGAAATGACCAGCGCACTGGCCACGATGAGGGTCGACTACGAGCAGATCAAGATCAAGACGATTGAGGACTCCAGCAATCCGCTGCTAACGAAGCGGAGGAAGAAAGCCAGTAGCGCAAACCCCCAGTCTGCCGCACACTGAGAGACACGCGTGTGCATGCATGCACAAACGGAAAAAACACAGGTTGTAAAAAGGAAGCAATAATTTGTCTACACACAGTCTGCATTGCATGGATTTCTCAGTGTTTTGATTTTAATGGCAAATTCTAATGTTTTTTAAAGAGTGTTTGTTTTTATTACTCTACCATTTTAACAAACCGTCTTCATTCTGCTCCTGCAGAGGGGAGTGTGTTGATCTGTGTTTGTGCTCCACAGAAGAGATTAGAAGGAGAGGAGGCGGAGTCAGTGGGACTTCTCACCTGTCCTTCCCCACATATCAGGTCGTCTGCTCAGAAGGGCTTGAATGTTTGATCAGGACGTGAAGCCTTAGCATTAGCGGTAGTTGTTACCCCACAGCCATGTACTAGCTCTAGCCCCACACCTGTGAATGTTAAATGAAATGGCTATATCCAAAAAACAGGAGGGAAGTTTTACTTTTGATACATGGAAAGTAAGCCAGTATATTTGAACTGAC